ACCTTCAAACCAAAGGGGGTGGGTACAATCCTGGAATAGTGCAGTGTGTCTCAGTGAAGTATAGTTTTCTTCTATGAAATTATATAGATAATTCAATTTCAGGTATTTTGCATCATGAGGCTTACATATAGTATTAACATTTAAAACAGTATGCTGATAAAGGTCAGAGAAAGTGTACCTGCCTGATGAACATGACTGGCAAACTGGTAACAATGGATGAGGAGAAGGCTGAGGTACTTAAAAATTTCTTTGCCTCAGTCTTCACTGGCAACCTCTCTTCCCACACCTCTTGAGTGGATGGACTTCAAGATGGGGACTAGGGGAGAAAAGTCCCTCCCCCTGTAAGAGAAGATCAGGTTTGAGACCACCTGAGGAACCTGAACATACATAAGTCTATGGGACCCAACAAGATGCATCCCAGAGTTCTGAGGGAATTGGCAGATGCAGTTGCCAAGCCACTCTCCATGATATTTGAAAAGTTGTGACAGTCAGGTGAAGTCCCCAGAGACTGGAAAAAGGGAAACATCGCACGCATTTTTAAAAAGGGTAGAAAGGAGGACCATGGAAACTACTGACCTGTCAGCCTCCCCTCTGTGCCTGGGAATATCATGGAACAGATCCTCCTGGAAGCTGTGCTAAGGCACACAGAGGACAGGGAGGTAATTCAAGACAGGCAGCATGGCTTCACCAAAGGCAAGTCTTGCCTGACCAACCTAGTGACCTTCTGTGATGGAGTGACTACATCAGGGGACAATGGAAGAGCCACAGATGTCATCTGTCTGGACTTCTCTAAGGCATTTGATGCGGTCCCCCACAACATCCTTCTCTCTAAATTGGAGAGATATTGATTTGATGGATGGACTGTTCAGTGGATGAGGTACTGGTTGGATGGTCACATCCAGAGGGTAGTGGTAAACAGCTCAACATCCAGATGGAGATCAGTGATGAGTAGTGTCCCTCAGAGGTCCATATTGGGACAAGTACTGTTTAACATCTTTGTCAGTGACACAGACAGTGGGATCAAGTGCACCCTCAGCAAGTATGCAGATGACACCAAGCTGAGTGGTGCAGCTGATTCACTGGAGGGATGGGATGCCATCCAGAGGGACCTTGACAGGCTTGAGAGGGGTGCCTATGTGAACTTCATGAAGTTCAACAAGGCCAAGCACAAGGTCCTGCACCTGGGTCAGGGCAACCCCCTGTATCAATACAGGCGGGGGGATGAAGGGATTGAGAGCGGCCCTGCAGAGAAGGACTTGGGGATACTGGTGGATGAAAAGCTGGACATGAGCCAGCAATGTGCGCTCGCAACCCAGAAAGCCAACCGTATCCTGGGCTGCATCAAAAGAAGGGTGGCCAGCAGGTTGAGGGATTCTCCCCTCTGCTCTGCTCTCATGAGACCCCACTTGGGAGTAATGAATCCTGCTCTGGGGACCTCAGTAGAAGAAAGACATGGACCTGCTGGAGCAGGTCCAGAGGAGGGCCACAAAAATTATGAGAGGGCTGGAGCACCTCTCCTATGAAGACAGGCTGAGAGAGTTGGAGTTTTTCAGCCTGGACAAGAGAAGGCTCCAGGGAGACATTATTGTGGCCTTTCGATACATAAAGGAGGCCTATAAGAAACCTGGGGAGAGACTTTTTAATAGAGCCTGTAGTGACAGGAGAAGTGGCAATGGTTTTAAACTAAAAGATGGGAGATTTAGATTGGAGCTAAGGAAGAATTTTTTTATGATGAGGGTGGTGAGACCCTGGAACAGGCTGCCCAGGAAACTGGTAGATGTCCCGTCCCTGGAAACATTCAAGGTCAGGTTGGACAGGGCTCTGAGCAACCTGATCTGGTTGAAGATGTCCCTGCTCATTGCAGGGAGGCTTGGACTAGATGAACCTTAAAGGTCCTTTTCCAACCCAAACCATTCTGTAACTGGTCACAGTGATCAGGATCACAGTGTCCTGGTTTCAGTTGGGATAGAGTTAATTTTCTTTCTAGTAGCTTGTATAGTGTTTTGTTTTGGATTTAGTATGAGAATAATGTTTTTAGTTGTTGCTATGTAGTCTTCAGATGAAGTCAAGGATTTTTCAGCTTCTTATGCCCAGCCAGCAGGAAGGCTGAAGGGGCACAAGAAGTTGGGAGGGGACACAGCCAGGGCAGCTGACCCAGACTGGCCAAAGGGGTATTCCATACCATGTGACATCCTGTCTAGTATATAAACTGGGGGGAGTTTGCCTGGGGCGATCACTGCTCAGGAACTAACTGGGCATTGGTCAGCAAGTGGTGAGCAATTCTGGTGTGCATCACTTGTTTTGTATAGTCCAATTATTTTGTTATTATTATTGTCATTTTATTATTGTTATTATTACCTTTATTATTTTCTTCCTTTCTCTTATATTAAACTGTTCTTACCTCAACCCATGAGTTTTAGCTTTTTTTTTTTCCTGATTCTCTCCCCCATCCCACCGGGTGGTGGGGGAAGTGAGAGAGCAGCTGCGTGGTGCTTAGTTGTTGGCTGGGGTTAAGCCACAACACAGGAGTACTGCTTTACACAGTTGATCTTTTACTGTTCTCTTTCCCATAAGTGCTAACTTGCTTAGAATTAAAATGTTTTGAGTAGCTGAAACAAGGAACTATCAGAGATTATTTGATTAGTTGCAGAAGAGGATGATGGAGCTTGGGGCAGGTAGAAGATTGTTCACATGCTGGCTGCCCACCAGCCCAGTAACCTGCCAGAGTGTTACAGAGAGTATCTTCTGCACTGTGACTGTCAGGGGCCATTGGAGAGAAACAGTGCTGAAGAAGGGGGTTTTTTGAGAAGTGTGGTGATGGTCGTCCTAGTTTCTTTGCTAGAAACAGTGGTAGTGGTGACCTCCTGCATGAAATGAGAGACTGGAAGGGGACCGCTTCCTCTCTATGGTGGGTCTCCATGGCTACCAAAAAACACTCTTTCCTGATATCTCCACGTTTCTGGTTCCCTTCTTTAGCAGAACAGAATACAGTTCTTCTTGGATTCAGCCTGCCACTATGTATTCTCACTGCCTGGAAAGGAAAGTCACAAAGGCAGTGTTTGTCCTTTCCTTTAAGGAAGCTCATTACCAACTTGCTCGTTGATTTTCAGCTTGCTTTCCCTCAAACCTGTTGTTTCAGATGATTTTCTTTTTCTCCTTAGTATGGCTAGGCAGCATTGGGAAGCGGAATGGACAGAGACCCATCAGCCACAAGCTAGCTGTAGAAGCAGTATGCAATTCTGGGAAGACGGTGGAAGTGACTTGCCACAGAAACTGGAAACTTCTCCCTAGCTTCAAAGGGAAAACTACAGAGAAATTAAGAAATAGAAAGGGTGGGGTCTAGACCAGTGAAAGATCGGTGTAGGGAAATAAAAGATTAGAAAGAAAAATGAGGGAAAAGTCTATAATGCAACACTTGAGATAGGGCTCTGTCAACAAAGTAAATGGGAAGCACTCTCAGTCCTTGTTTCAGGAGCTCAGCTTTACTAAAGCACTCTTCCTCTGATATAAAACCTTGAAAGCCTTTTTTCCACTAGCACCAGCCCCTGCAAAAAAAATACAGAGTAAACTTGCACTTCCAGTTCTGGTTTGAGGTATACATAAAGTGATGAAACACAGAATAAGGAAAATGTCTGTTTTCCTTGTGGACAATTAGATTTCATTGTCAGTTTAAATTGATGACATGAGCTTCGAAACTATTGAGCCTGTGCTAATAAATGCAACAGTTGTTCATAATTTGGCAGTGAATGACCTTTAAATGTAGACGCTTACTAAGGATGTCCTTAGGGAACAATTCAACTTCGAAATGACACCCATGTGTTCTTGTTATCATTTAAATATGCTCCTTTTGTCAATAACAGAATAATAAATACTAGTTAGATTTCTGATGTTGATTCAGATGCTAGGAAACTTACTGAATAAATTAGTGTACATTTGATTTATATTGACCAAAAAAATTTTACAGTGGTATATTGCAGGTCAAGGTGACATACATTTAAATGTGTTGTAGAGCAGAGGGCATACTTGACTGACACATGTGCTTACTACGTTTTTAATTAACGCTTGCAATACTACTCCCCAAATTTCTCCTGGAGTTGCAAATGTTGTGGAAGTAAGATATGACATGTAAGATCCTGAAGTACTGTGGATTTTGTGAAAGCCCATAGACTTTACCTCTGTAGAAGAAGCAGTTTAATAGGTTTTACTCTTGTTTGTGGAAGTACAAAGCTAGAAGGACTTAAAGTCTGGTATAGCTTATGTATTTCGGCATTTTTTACTGTTAAAGTAAATGTGCATAGAGTGAAAAAGGTTAGATGTTTTTCCATGTGAAGCCTGAGAGTAAGCCACAATAGCAAATGATAAATGTGAAAGATAAAGTGGGAATATTTATAAGTATTGTAGTTGTAAAGCATGAAGGGAGTAATTATGTGAATGAGTTTATGTAAAAAACACTTTGAATTACTATTCTAACCCTTTCACTGAGTCTCTGGACTGTGTGAACTTGGTAGTTTTAAAACATCTGAACAGGCTCTGTGTGCCTTGGATATGAAATCTGCCAGTATGAAGACTTCTTGCTTACCCATCTGTCTTGTACAAGCCCACCATGTGTTACCTTGTGTCACAAGTCCTGTTGAAATCAGTGACAGACCAGTTACTCCAAGTTCAAGGAAATTAAACAGAAATATTAAATCTGTTAGATAAATTAGACTTTTTTATTGTCTTAGTGTCTTCATAGAGAATTTTTAAATGTCCTGGTTATTCTACAAGGGAGTCAGAGTAGGTCTATACAGCTACTTTTCTCTCCTACTTGGGAAGACAAAGAGGATAAAGATAATTTGACAGATGCCAATGATTCTGTAATGTCAGAAAAGTGCTACTTCGACCATTGTTTTTTCATTTCCAGTGAAGGAGCATGTATTAGTGGAAGAAATAGATCTGATAATTTAGGCTAAAGATACCCCTTTGTACGCAACAGGAACTTGAAGAGTATAAAGTAAGACATGGAGAATTTTGCAGTGCACATGAAGGCAGCTAAGGCAGAAACTGGAAAAAGGTAAAACCAAAGTGAAAAACTGACTGAATGTATACATAGCAATCAGTTAAAGCTGTTTCCTTTTTTGTGTGTTTAATTTGCTTTGGGGTGTAGACAGATTAGACAGAGACATATAGCTCCAGTGATCTCTGATTGTTGTGCAATTGCTCAAAGCCCCCTTGATTCAGCGTCATGAAATCCTAGTGGAAAGGGCCATGTAAGATTTCTCTGAGCAAGGAATCACTTATGCTGTATTCCTGAGGGTGGATCAGCAGTAGGATAAAGAAGCAGCAGTGTGATTGCCTGTATAGTTTACCATCTGAAAGACCAAAAGTTGACACATTCTGTCAGTAAACCGTAACTGCAAAACATGCATTACCCAATTCTCTCCCAAGATCTGCGGATTTATGGTTTTGATGAGGAAGTTACGTTTTCAGAAAGATAGGGGGTAGCAGAGCATTCAAACATGCATCACAATAAAGTTATATTTTAATTGTATTGAATCTTTGAGAGGTGGTAGTGTGTCGTGGTTTAAGCCCAGCCAGCAACAAAGCACCATGAGGCCACTCGCTCACTCTTCCCCACCCTGGCCCTGGTGGGATGAGGAGCAGAAAATATAAAGAAATGTTCGTGGGTCGAGACAAGGACAGGGAGGGAACACTCACCACTTATGGTCATGGGCAAAAGACAGACTCAACTTGGGGAAGAAACAAAATGAATTTAATTTACTACAAATCAAATCAAACCAAGGATAATAAGAAGTAAACCCCAAATCTTGAAACACCTTCCCCCCACCTCTCCTGCCTTCCTTGCTCAACTCCACTCCCAGTTTTCTGTACCTCCTCTCCCCAGCAGCACAGGGGGACAGGGAATGGGGTTTGGAGTCAGTTCATCACACATTGTCTCTGCTGCTCCTTCCTCCTCAGGGGGAGGACTCCTCACTCTTCCCCTGCTCCAGTGTGGGGTCCCTCCCACAGGAGACAGTCCTTCATGAACTCCTCCAATGTGAGTCCTTCCCACGGGCTGCAGTCCTTTACGAACGGCTCCAACATGACTCCTTTCCATGGGCTGCAGTCCTTCAGGCACAGACTGCTCCAGCACGGGCTTTGCCATGGAGTCACGCCACCTTTGGGGGCATTCGCCTGCTCTGGCTGCAGGTGAGCATCTGATCCCCCGCTCCCCTCCATGGGCTGGCGAGGGGACAGCCTGACGTCTCACCACGGGCTGCAGGGGCATCCCCTCCTCCGGCGCACCTCTTCCCCCGCCTTCCTCAGTGACCTCGGTATCTGGAGAGGGGCTTCTCTCACATCCCACTCTCCCTACTCACTGCACGTTCCCCTTCTTAAATCTGTTCTCCCAGAGGCACTGCCACTGTGGCTGATGGGCTCAGCCTTGGCCCGAGGCAGGTCCGACTTGGAGCCAGGGAAGCTTCTAGCAGCTTCTCACAGGAGCTGCCCCTGCAGCCCCTCCCCCGCTACCAAAACCCCACCACACAAACCCAATACATAGTGGCAAAACTTTGTTAATACTATAATGCTACCAATGGAGTTATTTCATCAGAGGATTCATGCTTAACTGCTCCTGCTGGTGTTTTCTGTCTGTATAGCATCAAGTTGTGATACTTGTAAAATCTTGTCAACAGAGATGGTGTTAAGCATACGTGCATTCTTTACTTCCCAGGAGTGAGAATACGCCAGGCTTTAAAATGCAACATGAGGGAAGATGTAATAAATACATTGACAGTAATGCACATACCTCGTACTGTAATGCACATTTTAATTCCTGATGTAATTCATTCCAGGTTTGATTGATAATTAGTCATCATTGTCATGGCATTTATGAAGATATCTTGGAATTTCAGTATATGATACCATTTTTATGTTAGGTGGCTGGTGAGGCCTGAAGAAGTTGAAGGTATGTTTTTCATCTACAGCAGTGACTAGGTTATTAAATTAACTAAGTTAGTACTGCAGGAGCAGCTTTAGAAAGCTGTCTTTTTAATATTAGGTATTTATTTTTAGAATAACTGAAAAATTTAAATGACAATTCTTCAGACCATTACAATTCAAAATTATCCATTGGAAAATACCACCAGATATCCACCCACTTACAGATTTTAATTTTTGCAGTCTTCGTGAAGAATGTTGTCTGTGCTGCTAATTTACATGAATGCATTCTTAGCCTTAGCTGTCTCTCTTAAGTTCCTTTGTGAATTTTTTATATGGAGGAATTTAAAGGATTGCTTCTATGGTGGCTGAATATATGTAAATCTTAGTGGTTCTTGTAATGATTATCTTTGAATTCACAAGAAATAGGAAAGAAATTTGATGGGACTTTGTACTGCAGCTTAGTGACCTAATTGTGTTTCTTACTCAATAGGCCACTGAGGACAAAGTTTAGTCTGTCCGTAGCTAGCTCTGCCAAGGTGGAGAAAGGTCTTTCTGGCACCCTGGCAGTGAGGAGAACATTGAGAAGACGGGCTTGCATGGCACGGCGCTTGGTGGTAGAATTTCAGTGCTACATCTGGGTACAGTGGAAGTACTTACATAGGTATGCACCATGGAAGTGTGCTAATGGAGGCTTTCCAGCTACTGCATTTTGATTGCTGTCATTGTAAGCAACCATTATTTCTCCTGTTTACAAGAGTTACATGAGCACTTTTATCAGCTTTTCATTTTCAGTTTTCTAGAAGTCTGAACTTTCTGTGGCTTGGGGAAGGCTAAAATAGCATTTTGTAGAGAATTCTGGAAGGGGATTTTGGTGATGAAGCATTAAGTGTCATCATTACCTTTGAAAGTGGCATTGTATTTTTAATGGGAAATGAAAGGAGAAGTGTGTGTAGTATGTTGACAAACTATTTATTCATAGATGTCCTGATGATAAAGATATTGGGGCTAGAACACAGGTAGTCTCTTTCTGGGAGCAGCCTTTTTTTTTTTTTTTTTTTTTTTATTATTTCAACCTATATATCATGTTATAAACATTTCACATTTCATAAACCAATGAACATTGTGTGGTTGTTGGGTTTTTTTAAAATAAATATTTGGACACAACAGTAATGCTTGGATACTTTTAGGCATTGAAGTAAGACGGGACAGAAAGAGCATACCATGAGAAAGGAGCACTATCTCTACAAGTTCTAAAGAAAATGTTTCCGCTCATTGCTCCTCTGCTGGTGTAGTGAGAGCTCCACCTCCTGTTCAAAACAACCTTCAGTTCTAAAAATGTATAAATAGGAAATCCAAGAAGATGCCTTTGGATGTTGAAGCTGCCACCAGTGTAGCTAGACTAAGTAATTTATAAGAAATGACAGCCAAACCTCCACTGCATCTTCCATTTTGTATATTATTTATTTGTATGTCACAGTGTTTGTGGGTCCTAGTTAAGACCAGGGCCTCTAGGTGACAGTTGTTGAATTGTGTACATGGTACACAAAGTTTCAAAAATCGGTCTTGAAAGGGATTGCCTACAATTCGTGATAGTTGTTTGCCTGATGAGATGCTGTGAAAAGTAATGTCTATCCAAAATGGTATTACTCTTGTTTGACTTTAATTCTTTAATATAGTGAAAATGGTATAAAACTTCTGTGAAAATCTTTTCTCCCGCTAGTCTACCTTGAAAACTGTGAGATAAGAATTGCCAATCTTCATTATTTTATTTTTTATATTCCTTGTGTCTCGTGTAATTGATTCACTTTTTAAAAATGGATTCCCTTTTTATACCATGGCAGAAGGTACTCATGTGCTGCAGTATCTCCAAATTGGAAAATAATGAAATCTAAAGCTTCTACTATCATCTTTTACATAAGGACAAACAAAGAATCTTGATGATGTGGTGAAACAATCAATTGTTCAGCAGCAAGTTTGTATTGATTACAATGAACTGCTTTTATGAAAAGTGACCATATGTACTTCGGCTAACTGCCTTTACTTTTGGTCTTGCACAGGACTCTGTTTCATTGCATGTAGATTCCCTTCCATGCTCTTTACTTAGTAATCAAGCCCTTTCCAGGAATAGGACTCCCTGGTCATGCATCTTCCTTGCAGTCAAGCTGTGATGGTAATTACAATCTAACTTTCTTGTTCTTTTGAGATGTGGAAACATGAGAAATGTGTCTTCAGTTTAACCATAAATTAATGGACTAATAGATTTATAGTAATGTCAGGGAATGTTATAAAAATATTTATTTTGCTCGAAAGATGTGAAGAAATTAATATTCAGGAAAAAAAGAAACACCCAAATTTGGAGTTGAGTCCTATGCCAGTAAAGAATCAGAAAATATATTAGCCTATTGTTTTTCTGATTTCTTCCGAATTCTAAGAAAAATTATGTCCCACAATGACATATGCTACATGAAACTCCGAAACACTCCATTCTTAAAAGCAAGTTAGAGAACATTCAAAAGCTAGGTTTTAATTAAAGATCCATTCTCACTCTAAAAGCCAAAGACCTAGCTTCAATTTTTATGTTGCGGTGAGGGAGCATAAAAAGTCAGTGAATACTGAAAACATCTATTTTTGGTACTGAATAGAAAATGTCAGAGGCCTTTCCTTTTGCTGAGTGCTCAGAATGTGGATGTGGATGTGTGATTGGTAGGACCACAATCTTTGCACTATTTCATGTTTTAAAAGTTCCTGTTTGACACAGAGTTTACAAAGCTCAAGTAGATTCTGAAGTACGGCTGAGTATGCTTTTTTTTTCTTTCCATATCTCTCCTCTATATCAAAATTTGTTCCTTTGGCAGTTTTGGTTTTACCTTCCCTTGGCAGAAATGTTATGATTTCAGACTTCCAGGTTTTGCGATAAATTCCTAGTGCCAGTTGGGAAGAGGGAAACAATATTTTTAGATGAGTTTTAAAACAGCTTGGTAAGAACTTGTTAGGAGTGTTATTGAGGATAGTAATTGTCTCCTCTCAAATAAGACCATCCTTATGTTGGCCTGAATTAGAGATGAAGTAGGAGACTATGCTGTAAGTTCAGCACTTGCAGTTAAGAAGTCCTTTAACATTCTCTCTTTACCTTTTGGTGCCTGCTTACTACTATATATTTATCTGGAAAATAAACATAAGGAGAATACGTTAATGGGAATCAGAAACAGTTTTAAGGTACAAAGTAGAATCATTTTTTCTCTACATGCATTTAGTGTTCGTATTTGAATTTTTCCTTTACTACTAGATGGTTTGTGTCTAATTGCAGCTTTGGAAGACCTCTAAACATAGGTTTGAGGCTGAAAAAAACTAGTACCATCTGATGTGTAATATGGAATTCTAAATTAAAAGCCTCATTTTTGCCTAGACCATGGGAGAAAGAGGGAATTGTTCTGTAAACTAAGAAAATATGACCAGAAGTTAGTTCTGTAAACCACGAAAGCCACTGCTTTTTCTTTTGCCTTTGTTTTGTTTGTGTTTTTTTTTTGAAGTGTGAATGTTATGAATGTCATTACTCTTTTCAAATTCAGTGGCCAGGATAATACCACAAATGCAAAACTTTCCTAACTGCATAGGTGTTTAAATAATACATTTTGTGAACAGAAAATGCAGTTACTTTAGTTTTTAAGTGTATTTGGTGTTTGGGAAAGAACTGGCAACACGCTGCACATTCAAAACTATTTTTTGCTACTCACCAACTAAATTGTCAAAAATTGCTGATTTGAAAGGGGGTAAAACCTGCTTAAAGTAATCACAGATATAACTGTTATCTGTTACAGGCTAAGAACTTAATGCCCCATTTCTCAAATGAGTTTTTACAGTAACGAGATAGCTGTATCACACTCCTAAGTGAAAAGCTCATGAACTTGCCTGCATGGTTATTTCCAACCTCTACTCTTCTAACAAGCTCCCAAAGTTGTTGCTTATAAAAGTGGAAAATGGACCTGATAAAAATGTTTAGTCTGCAGGGCTGTGTTTTATTTATCATATCACAAAAGAACAATGTTTTGTTGCATCATGGTCAAAATAGAAGCGACCTTGCTTGTTCATGAGTGCTCAAAGCCTAGAGATAAGAGGCAAAGTAATAGAGTACAATAGAAAGAGTGTAGTGTAATTATTTGTGGCTTGTCAAGTGAAGCCCTCTCAGGCCCCAAGTGATTCAAATCTGGGAACTCTGCACAATTCTGTACACTAACCGTAGCCAGCATCAGAGAAATCTCACCCAGCTTCTCCGACAGTACTGAAATTGCATCAGTTTGTCATGCACTGAGCATGCCAGCTTCACACAATACCATTTGCTTGCAAATGGGCCTGGCCCCAACGCCCTGAGACACATTCTTTGGTATCTGACTCTTGGCCTGTGATTTGTCATGTCTCTAGTGCTATCGGCGTAAAGTAATTTTAATAGATTCTGATGGTTTGCTTGTAGAAGGTAAAGAATGCACTACAGATTGTGTCAGGTAGCTTTCTATGGTATGTAGCATGGTAGAGGCCCTCATGATGGCGATAGCCAAACAAAGAGTATGGAGAAATGAGAACCCTATTTTGAGTGGAATTTTAACGCTCCCCTTCTCAACACCCTGCTGTGGACATCCTTGCTAACTCAGCAGGTTCAAGAACTTAGCAACTCAACAAAGCAGTGTTATTTGTGCTTAAGAGTTGTTTACAGATGGAACATATAGCCAAAAATCAGTGGCTTTGTTTCTCCCTATTCAAAAAGAAAAGTGTGTAAGATGTGTAAAAATGTTAATTAATTTCCAGGGACTAAACTGTATATATTTTTTTCTTTGTGTTTAACTCTGTATTAATTGTTTGGGGTTTAGCATTCTCTAAGTAAAATCACTGGATTTTTTAGCAAGTATGTTCTCTAATACTGTAAAAAAAAACCCAAATTTGTGTAATTTATACTGAAATGTATCTAATATGAAATTACATAAATATGGTCTAGAATATAGATTCCTGAAGAATTTCTTCATAGATTTTAATTGCAATAGTTATTTGACAATTACTGGATTACTGAATCTTTGTTTGGAATAGTTTTCTTGCATTGTGAAGTATGTGGCATTTTTTTACTCTTCCTTTGACACCACTGAGATGAGATTATTTTGCCATTGACAGCTCTGATCTTTGCATCATTTTTTTCAGCTGACTTCCTTAATTGATTACTACTTTGGTGTTGGAGCCTGCAGCATAGCTCTCCAGAATTCTGCTGACACTAATCGATTAATGTGAAGGTGTTAATGTTAGTGATTTCATCTAAGAACCATTCAAAACCATGTCAGTAATCTGTTCTTAAAATCTGCCAGATCATTGAGTCTTGTTATTTTGAACATGTTAGTTTGGGTTAACAAGGATTTCTCTGGAGAGCCAAAAAAAAAAAAAAAATTAGTGAATCCTGTGGGAAAAGCAGATTTTTATTCAATTGTAGTGCATTAGTGTAACATACATGTGCATGCCTTAATATTTAACTGACTTTTAAAATAAGTTCTTATTAATATTTATGATATCTCTGAGGAATTTATAAAAATGCTTGAGCACAAACTATTTCTTTTTAGTTTTACCTGGGGAATTTCTGACAGCGGTGTAACTCTGGGCACCC